GGTCCTTAACAGATGGCACGCGAAACACGAGAAAGCTCATGAGCTGTACGAAAGGTGTTAACTGAGCTTGTCTATTGTCTTTTGGCATCTACATAACATACCTTTGAAATGACAGGGTAATTTCCTTTTTTCCAGACCCTCTGGAGCACAATCTCCCACCTAGACAAGAGATCACACAGCCTCTCACTGTTATTGTTACCATGTGAATTGTGAACTCTTACCTCTCTTGTACCCATCTGCGTAAAGGAGTTTGCGTCTGTTCCTTTAACTTTTTATTCAATCCCAGAGATTTCTGCACCTGCCTCCCTAATCTACCACCAGTGGATTTCTTATAACACCCTTATGCCTCTTCCTTTGATTATAATGTATAAAATAATGTGCAAAACTGCCCTTCTTGGGAGAATTTTCTCAATCTGTTGGGATTTTGCTTCTAGGCAATTGCTGTCAGTTTTGCTTAAATAAACTCATAAAAATTCTATACAGACTTGAATGTTTCTTCGGTTGACAGAGGGGAACAGAGTCTGGGGACAGGAGCCGGGGTGAAGAGGTCAAAATAATAGATGATTCTGTGGAGGGTGTGGAGACAACGCCCTGGGGCAGTGCCCGCCCCTTCACACACTGTATAAGGGCCAGGAGGATACAGAAGGATGCACAGCTGCCCAGCCTGGTGACACGGAACCACCCTGCACAGACCATGGGAGGCTCCCACCTCAGCGCCTTTCACATCCTACAGGGTGAGAATTTGGGGGCCCCTATGGGAGGAGCAAGGGAACCCCTGGCAGCACCCCTTTCATGCCTCTGCTTCCTTGTCTGCCCACCCCCCAACGAGGACAAATAGGAGGCACCGCTGGCAGCTCTGGGCCTGACATGGAGGAAGCCACATGGTTAGGCAGGAGCCGCGGCACATGGGAGAGCAGCTGGCAGTGCCCGGGAACCCCCATGCCCAGCAGGAACCCCCGGGTGCTCTAAGGGTCTGTTCCCCACCCCAGAGGGATCTCCAAGCTCCTTCCAAATCCACTTTGGAAGCTTCGCCCTAAGAGGGGAAACTGAAGAAGGTGGAAGAGAGGGGGCGAATGAGTGCTGTGACCCCCTCAGGAAGTCACTCTTAACAGATGGCAGAGTGGGGGCTAGGGAGCTAAGAGGGGACCCTTCCACATCAGGGTGACCCCCACACTTCTCCCATTGTGCGGCAGAGGATGCCCCGGAGACTCCCCATTTTTGCTCCCAGAGACCCAGCTGGGCCTCAGCTGTGCATTGAAGGGCTTTGCTGCTGTGGGTTGAACCTGAGCTCTGCTGTGACTTCCCCCTTGCCTCCCTTCCCGCCCCACCCAGAGTGGCTCTAACGGTTATCAGGTTATCAGGGCAGCCCGTTGCCTCGGCAACCAGGCAACAAAGAGAGTTAAGAAATGACATTTGGGTGCCAATCAGAACTTCCCCAGGCCACAGTGATGGGGCTCCCTGTGCTGGCCCAGGGTGCCAGGTGCGAGCTGTTTTCTATAGCTTTATGAAGGTGAGGTGTAATTGACATAGCATGTAATTCGCCTGTTGCATGGTTACAATTAGATGATTTTTTGTAAATTTGTGGAGTCTGTTTGGAGCACAGCTGGAGGCGGCGATGTGTCAGGGGCCAAGTCACAGAGCTCCTGATCCTCACTTTCCACGTCTGTGAAATGGGGCAGAGCAAGGCTGGTCTCCACTTTACAGGCTTGTGTTAAGGGTTGAGTCCTGGTTCACAGTAAGGATTAAGTAACATTGTTGTTGTTGTTGTTGTTGTTGTTGTTGTTGTTAATGTTACTATTATTATTATTTCACTGGTAGGTCTGGGGTATGGGCTGCAGGAGGGGCATCCTTAGCAGGAGGAACAAGGAGAGAATGGTTGCCCCACCCCTGCCACTGGGGCCCCAGGCAGGAATCTGACTGCCCAGGGCTCAGCTAGGGGAATGCAAACCAGATGGGACTGGGAGCAGGGCCAGCCACCCCTCTCCAGGCTCCTGTTTGGGTGACTTCCTGGGCCCCAGGTGGAGGTCTGGCCCAGCAGCCTCTGTGGTGGGGCAGGAAAGCCCAGCTCAGCACAAAGAACCCCCTCCCTGTAGACTCTGGGGAACTTGACCCCTCACTTTCATCTTCCCCAGCCCCCTCTTCACCAGTTTCTCCATAAGCTTTCTCGGGGCTCTGAGCCTCAGTGTGTCCATCTGCAGAGTGGACATAAACAGAGCCTCTGTCTCATAGGGCAGTTGTGAGCATAAATGTTGCTACTGGGGCTTTGGGAGCTGGGGACGAATTGGCCCAGGACCCACCCTGCCAGGGAAGGTCATTCTGTGGTCTGTCCTACAAAGAGGAAGTGGGTTTCCACCAAAGGGAGAACTAACCAAACCCTGTGGCCAGAGAGGAGGAAGACAGGAGTTCTAGCCTGTTCACCGCATCTTCGAGGCCTTGGGGAGGGTGTGAGGGTCTTTGCCCTCTGCTGGCCTGAGGGCATCAAGTTTGAACATTGGGACTGAGTGCGCAGGAGACCCTCCAGTCTGTACCCTCCACAGCTCCTTAGTTGTGCTCACAATGACCAACCCCAAAATTCCCCTGGGAGCCCTTCTATGCGCTACTGGAGCCCCTCCATGGGTGACTGGGAGCCCCTCCTTGGGAGCCATGAGTTATCTCTTCATTTGCCCAGGAAGTGACTCACTCCTGCCCTGCCTCCCTGGCCCCCATCCCTCCACCTGCTGCCCCCTATCTGGCCTCCCTGGATATCTGGGTCTGGGATGCCCCCACAGCATCTCTAGATCTGCAGAGACTGGATGGATCCCTCAAGCCCTCTCCATACCCCACCTGCTGCCCAGGTGCCCGCGCTCACTCTCGCCCTCCCATTCCCTTCTCTGTTTCTCTATCTGGCTCTCCATCTCTCTATCTCACCATGTCTCTCTGGCATCATTATCTCTCTCTTTCTAGGAGTTCCCTATTTCTCTGTCCATCTCTCTAGATCACTGTCTTCTTAACTCTGCCTCTCTGTTTCTCTCCATTTCTGTGTCTTCTGTCTCTCTCTCATCCCTTCATTTTCCCTCATCTCTGTCTCCCTCTTTCTCCTCCAAGTCTCTAGTGCCTTCTCTCTCTCTCTCTCTCTCTCTCTCTCTCTCTCTCTCTCTCTCTATCTCTCTCTGCCTCCTCTTTATTTTCTCTCCATCTTTGTCTCCTTGTCTGTCCCTCTGATGAACTGGTCCTCATCTCTAGGCCCCCTGCTGACTTAAGAAGAACCCCAGGACATGCCCTGGGATGGGGTGCCCTAAGCAGCAGGAAGTGCAGGATTGGGGAGCCTGTGTAGCTCCACCCCTAACATGAGCCCCCAGCATCTTCCTGTGTGCAGGGAGCCAGGGTGTGAAATGTCACCACTGGGTCCCAAGCTGGTCGTTGTGGTGGACAGATGTGGGTGCAGTGTGCTTGCACCTGTGTCCCTGAGGAAGGGTGTGGGCCGGAGCACCTTAGATTTGGGAGATCTGAAAGGACTCCTGGCCCAACCCCTTCATTTTTACATAAAGAAATGATGACAGTAAGCACTTTGACACACCAGGCAGTACTTGTCTGCTTAACTCTCACACTCTAGGAAATGGACTCCCTCTTCATCCCCATTCTACAAAAGGGGAAACTGGGGAAATGAGGCACCTGACCAAGGTCTGGGAATAGAACCAAGGCCAATTGGCTCCAGTATGTTTCCTGAACTGCTGCCCACAGGTCAGCAGAAGCCAAGAAACCTGCCAGGTTCGGGCCCCTCCCCATCCTTAAGTTCCTGAAAGCCACCCTCAGACGATGGGTGCAGACCCTCTGGCCATGGGCATTGGAGGCCAGCGAGGTGCCACCTGCCCACTCTCTCCTTGAGTAATGGACAGAGCCCGAGCCTGGGAGGGGTGAGCAGGCCCTTGCCTCAGATGTGTCACCCTTAGACCTCCATTCCCTGTTCTGTGTCCCCCTGACCCTCTATCTCTCTGTTCCAGCGCTGTGTGTCTTGCTGACTCTGTTGGAAGATGGACCCCAGAACACCAGGGGTGAGTCTGCTGGGAGTAACTCAGTCCACAACCAGAGTCCCATCCCCCACCTCACCTCTCAGCCCAGGCAGAGAAAGGCCTGTTGCAGAGGAAGCTCAAGATTGCTCCTCCAAACACCCCTCCCCAGCCTCTGGCTCAGCCCTCATCTTCTGACCATGGTCTCCATCCCACAGCCTCTGCCTGTAAGCTGTTGTGTCCTTCAAACTCCATATGTGGCGCTGCCATTTCCTGTCAATGCAATCCGGGATTCAAGTCTCCAGCTGGGGAGACCATCATCCACCCGTGGGAGACTTGTGAAGGTACAGAGGCTTGGGGTGGTGGAGGGCTACATGGAGACAGAATGGTGGATGGTGGCCTCAGCCTTTGTTCTCAGACCATCATGAAGGACAGAGAAAAGAGAAAGAAAAAGATATGAAGGTGGAAAATGAGAAGTGAGTAAACATTGCTTTGTAGAGAGAGATGAGCTGGGTCTCTAGGAGTCTGGAATCTGTGCCTCAGTTTACCCTTCCAGGACTGTGGAGGGGTATGCAGAGCTTCCACCCACCCACCACTTCAGCACTTGCTCCTGTATCTAAATCCAGGTGACAGACAGAAAGCTGAGCAGAGCAGAGACAATTTGGTGGGTTTCAGGAATGGCTTGCTCCAGTCACAGCCCAGCCACAGCAATAATCCCTGAGAGTCTAATTATTTCCTAAAAGACACTGATTGACCATCAGGCTCCATGCTAGGTATGGGACCAGGCTCTCTGCCCTGAGGGCACTCATGGCTTTGGGAGGTGACCCTTTATCCCGTTTTGTTGCAGACGTTGACGAATGTGAACAACGTGGAGCAGTGAATGCCTGTGGAAAAGACGCAGACTGCCATAATACGGTGGGGAGCTACTACTGCACATGCAAACCAGGATACAGGCTTGTTTCTGGGGCAACAAAGTTCAGTAATGCTACTGAGAACATGTGTCAAGGTAAGAATGACTACTCATCTTCCATCTCCCTGTCCATGAAGTTTGGAGTCACCAGAGTCATTCCTGTGGCATACAGGGTGCCAGGACCTGGTTCCAGGTGCAGCCCCCAGGTCTGAGTGAGGACAAGTGTGCCTGTGCCTGTCCCACTGGCACTAAGAGGTAGGGTGGCCTTTGAGCCAGGACCGAAGTCCTGGTTTTGCACTTTGACAGCTGTGTATGCAACCCCAGCCAGGACACTTATTCAGAAATCACTGTTAATGTGCGAGATGTGATAATATTACTGTGATTGTGTGTGTGTGTGTGTGTGTGTGTGTGTGTGTGTGTTTAAAAGAGCGCCCACCTTTACAGATTAAAAAAAAAAGTAGCTATGCCTACCTTTACAGATAAAAACAAAAGCAGCTATGTCTTTTGTTAACTGTATGATAATAGACACATTCTTCACTGCTGTGTGCCTCGGTTTAGCCGTCTGTAAAAGGAGTGACAATGGTGCTTACCTCACAAAAATGCTGGGAAAATTTATGAGATCATAGAGCACAACACAGTGGAGGCTGTTGGGTTTTTAGACTACATTCATTCTTTCTCTTTATTTCTTATCTTTATTATTGAAAGTATTACATAAGTCCTCTTTTTCCACCATTGACCTCTACCAGTGTGCCTCCGCCCCGCCCCCCAGGCCCTCACCACCTCATGGTCTGTGTCCACGGGTTATGCATAAGTTCATTGGTTGATCTCCCACCCTCCCCTACCTTCCTTCTGAGGTTCAACAGTTCGTTCCATGTTTCTATGTGTCTGGGTCTGTTTTTGTTCATCAGCTTTTTTACTTTTCTATCTCTGACTGGTTTATTTCGCTTAGCATAATACTCTCCAAGTCAATCCATGCCATTGCATATGGTAAGAGTTCTTTCTTTCATACAGCCATGTCATATTCCATTGTGTAAATCAAGCATGTCAAACTCAAAGGCTAACAGGGCACAAATAAACGAGGCATGCAGCCAGCGGGCTGTGAGTTTGACATGCTTGGTGTAAATATACCAAAGATTTTTATCCACTCATCTGCTGATGGGCACTTAGGCTGTTTCCAAATCTTAATTATTGTAAACTAGAGACCCAGTGAACGAAAATCATGCTTGGATAGGGTCCCTAGCGACTGCCGAATGCCAGCCGGGGCCTTCCTTTGTTCTGCGCTGCCCCCTGGTGGTCAGCACATGTCATAGTGAAGGGTCAAGCTCCTAGTGCAGCCGTGGGCAAACTACGGCCCGCGGGCCGGATCCGGCCCGTTTGAAATGAATAAAACTAAAAAAAAAAAAAAGACCGTACCCTTTTATGTAATGATGTTTCCTTTGAATTTATATTAGTTCACACAAACACGCCATCCATGCTTTTGTTCTGGCCCTCCGGTCCAGTTTAAGAACCCATTGTGGCCCTCCAGTCAAAAAGTTTGCCCACCCCTGTCTAGTGGGTCAAACTCCCGCCCGAGGGGACAATTTGCATATTAGCCTTTTGTTATATAGGATTGCACTGCTATGAACATAGGGGTGCATATATTCTTTCTGATGAGTATTTTGGTTTTCTTAGGATACTAGAGGCCCAGTGAAAGAAATTCGTGCATGGGGGGGGGGTTCCCCTCAGCCCAGCCTGCACCCTCTCAAATCTGGGAACCCTCCGGGGATGTCCAAGTACTGGTTTAGGCCCGATCCTGGCGATCAGGCCTAAACCAGCATTCGAACATTTCTCTCACAATCCAGGACCACTGGCTCCTAACTGCTCACCTGCCTGTCTGCCTGATTGCCCCTAACTGCCCCCCTGCTGGCCTGGTCACCCTCAACTGCCCACCCCTTCTGGCCTAGTCACCCTAACTGCTCCCCCCACTGGCCTGGTTGCTCCTAACTGCCCCCCCACCCCCCGCTGGCCTGGTCACCCCTCACTGGCCCCCTTGCTGGTCTGGTCGCCCCTCACTGCTCCTCCCTGCCAGCCTGGTTGTCCCCAGCTGCCCCCCACCCCGCAGACCTGGTCGCCCCAAGCAGCCTGCTGCTCAGTTGTTTGGTTGCCCCTCACTAACCCCCATGCTGGCCTGGCTGCCCCACTCATCCTGCTGCTCAGTCATTTGGTCGCCCCTCACTAACACCCCTGCCACCTGGTCGCCCCATGCAGCCTGCTGCTAGGTCATTTTGTTGCCCCTCATTAATCCCCCTGCTGGCCTGGTCGCCCTACACAGCCTGTTCAGTCATCCGTTTGGTTACAATGGTCGCTTAGGCTTTTATATATATAGATTTTCCTAGAAGTGGGATCACTGGGTCAAATGGAAGTTCCATTTTTAATTTTTTGAGGACACTCCATACTGTTTTCCACAATGGCTGCAGCAGTCTGCGTTCATTCCCACCAGCAGTGCACAAGTGTTCCTTTTTCTCCACATCCTCTCCAGCACTTGTCGTTTGTTGATTTGTTGATGATAGCCATTCTGACAGGTGTGAGATGGTACCTCATTGTTGTTTTGATTTGCATCTCTCGGATGATTAGTGACTTTGAGCATGTTTTCATATGTCTCTTGGCTTTCTGAATGTCCTCTTTTGAAAGGTGTCTATTTATAGATCCTTTGCCGAATTTAATTGGATTGTTTATCTTCCTTTTGTTAAGTTGTATGGGTTCTCTATATATTTTGGATATTAACCCCTTATCAGCTGTATCATTGGCAAATGTGTTCTTCCATGCAGTGGGCTCTCTTGCTATTTTGGTGATGGTTTTTTTGCCATGCAGAAGCTTTGTATTTTGATATAGTCCCATTTGTTTATTTTCTCCTTATTTTCCATTGTCCTAGGACAGTGGTTGGCAAACTGCAGCTTGCGAGCCACATGCAGCTCTTTGTCCCCTTGAGTGTGGCTCTTCCACAAAATACCGACTTCTGCGCATGGGCCACGAAGTTTCAATCTCACTGTATGTGTGCACCCGAACATGGTATTTCGTGGAAGAGCCATACTCAAGGGGCCAAAGAGCTGCATGTGGCTCACGCGCCGCAGTTTGCTGACCATTGTCCTAGGAGATGTATTAGCAAACATATTGCTACAAGAGATGTCTGGGATTGGGGTGCCTATAGTTTCATCTAGGGCTTTTATGGTTTCATGTATTGCACTTAAGTATTTTATCCATTTTGAGTTTATTCTTGTGTATGGTGTAAGTTGGTGGTCTAGTTCCATTTTTTTGCATGTATCTGTCCAATTTTCCCAGCACCATTTATTGAAGAGACTGTCTTGACTCCATTGTATGTTCTTGCCTCCTTTGTCAAATATTAATTGAGCGTATTGGTTGGGGCTGATTTCTGGGCTCTCTATTCTATTCCATTGATCTATATGTCTGTTCTTGTGCCAGTACCAGGCAGTTTTGAGAACAGTGGCTTTGTAATACAGCTTGATATCTGGTATTGAGATCCCACCTACTTTGTTCTTTCTCAGGATCGCTGCAGCTATTCGGGGTCGTTTTTTGTTCCAGATGAATTTTTGGAGAGTTCGTTCTAGGTCTGTGAAATATGCCGTTGGTATTTTAATGGGAAGTGCGTTGAATTTATAGATTGCTTTGGGCAGTATGGACATTTTAATGATGTTGATTCTACCAATCCAAGAACATGGTATGTTCTTCCATCTCTTTATGTCTTCCTCTATCTCTTTTTTCAACGTCCTGTAGTTTTCTGAGTAGAGGTCTTTTACCTCTTTAGTTAAGTTTATTCCTAGGTATCTTAATTTTTTTGGTGCGATGGTAAATGGGATTGTTTTTATAATCTCTCTTTCTGAAAGTTCACTATTGGTGTATAGAAATGCCTCAGATTTCTTGGGGTTAATTTTGTATCCTGCTACATTGCCAAATTCATGTATTAAGTCTAGTAGCTTTTTGATGGAGTCTCTAGGGTTTTGTATGTATAATATCATGTCATCTGCAAATAAGGACAGTTTTACTTCCTCTTTTCCAATTTGGATGCCTTTTATTTCTTCTTCTTGTCTAATTGCAATGGCTAATACTTCCAGTACTATGTCGAACAGGAGTGGTGAGAGTGGGCATCCCTGTCTTGTTCCTGTTTTTAGGGGAAATGGTGTTAGTTTTTGTCCATTGAGTATGATGTTGGCTGTGGGTTTGTCATATATGGCTTTTATTATGTTGAGGTATGATCCTTCTATTCCCACCTTGCTGAGAGTTTTTATCAAAAATGGGTGTTGAATTTTGTCAAATGCTTTTTCTGCATCAATTGATATGACTATGTGGTTTTTTTCCTTCAATTTGTTTATGTGATGTATCACGTTTATTGATTTGCGGATATTGTACCATCCTTGCATCCCTGGGATAAATCCTACTTGGTCATGGTGTATGATCTTTCTGATGTACTGCTGGATCCGATTTGCTAAGATTTTGTTGAGGATTTTGGCATCTATGTTCATGAGGGATATTGGCCTGTAATTCTCTTTCATTGTGTTGTCTTTACCTGGTTTTGGTATTAGGGT